CGATCATCAAATCTCCGCATGGCCATGCCCGTCGTTCATCGATTCCGTCGCGCAGGTTGTGGCGCGATCCTCGACCATGACCGCAACGATGTAGATCACAAGGAAGTGTTGTTAACAATAAAAAAGCGGGAGGGAGGTGGAAGCGAGCGTCATGAGGAATCGAAACATTAATAAAGAGCGGGCAAGATACCAGGAATGAAGGATCGATTAGCTTACTCCTTCTTGGACTTCTTGTCTTTCTTGTCCTTCTTGTCCTTCTTCTCGGACTTCTCGGACTTCTCAGACTTCTCAGACATCTCAGACTTCACCTTCTTGTCCTTCTTGTCCTTCTTGTCCTTCTTGTCGGATTTGGACTCGGACTTGTCCGACTTCTTCTCCTTCTTGGACTTCTTGGACTTCTTGGCGCTGGCATCGTCGTCCGAGTCGGAGTCGGAGTCGGCCGGGCGCTTCTTGGTCTCGGCCTTGATGGGCACGACCTCGAGGTCGTCGGCGGCGTCGGGCATGACGGCGTCCGCGGCCTCGCCGTAGGCGCCGGCGGCGGTCTGCACGAACTTCTTGTCCTTCTTGCCGTTCTTCTTGTCGCTGCTGCCGTTATCCAGCACATAGGCCTTGCGCGCGCGGCCCTCGAGCTGTGCGAGGCGCTGCTCGAGCTTGATCTTGTACTGTAGGCCGAGCGCTTGGGTGGCCTTGACGTCCTTCGCGTCCTCGGCGGCCGCGTCGGTGGCGGCGGGCACATCGTCGTCCTCGCCGAGCGCGTCAACGCGGGCCACGAGCGAGCACTTGGCCGCCAGGACGCGCGCGATCTTGCCCTTCACGGGGCCCGAGGCCTGGCCCACCAGCGATGCGTGGTAGAGCAGACCGTACTTGGGTGTCGCGTGCTTCGACTTGAGCGCGCGGAAGAGCGCCTTCTCGGCCCCGAGCAACTGCAGCGTCGAGGCCGGGAGCTTGGCAAGGCCGAGCAGCGAGCCCGCATGGCTCAGTAGACGCGCGGCGAGGATGTCGCCCACGAGCAGGGTGAGGTTGGGAGCGAGCGCGGTGAGGCGGTGGTGCAGGTAGGTCGCCAGCTGGGTGCGGTAGGTCGTCAGCGACAGCACCTGGTTGGCCAGCAGGAGGATGTGGGAGCGGTCGGAGGGCGCGAGGTCCGTGCCCATGGAGACCTCGGCGGCGCTCTGGACCTGGGACACGACTTCTTCCGAGACGATGTCCATCAAGGCCGCGGCGACGGCGGCGTCGCTGGCGGCGACACGGTCACCGCCCAGCGCGACGACGACCTTGGCGTAGGTGCCGCCCTCGAACTGGAGGATCTTGCCGAGTTCGGGGAAGTGCCAGCCGAACCACTCGCGCAGACGCATGGCGTAGGTGTTGAGCTCCTTGTCGAGCGAGTCGAGCAGCGAGATGGCGTGGGTGACCATGGTGTCGACCTTGTCGGGCGAGAACTTGAGCTTGTAGCGGGACAGCGAGTGCGAGAGACCGAGCGTCATGGCGGAGAGCTCCTTGGCGCCGAGCGTGGTGCCCGTCGACTCGGCGAGCAGTTCGGTGAGGTACTCGCGCAGCGCGCGCATGAGCGCCGTGACGCTCGTGTTGCTCACGACCTGCACCTCCTTGAACTTCTTCTGGATTGACGAGGCGAGCGTCGTGTCGGCCACAATGAGCGTGCTCGACGGCGGCTTGGCCGCCTCGAGGTCGAGGCTCGTCGCAATGAACTTCTTGAGGCCCTTGGAAAGCTTGCCCTCGACGAGCGCGGTCGTCGCGGACAGCGCGTCCAGCGTCGACTCGAACGGCTCGAACGCGGTCAGCTGGACCTGGGTGCCCTTGGCCGGCGCCTTGCCAGCAGCGTCCTTCGACGGCAGCGCCGTCAGGATGGACGCCGGGTTGGCCAGCAGACTTGTCACATCCGCGTGCGACGGCGGCAGCGTGAACAGGCAGTAGCCCGCAGCCGTTTCAAAGAGCACGTGAGCCGACGACATGGTGGCAGCACGAGGGGCAGCGGGGGTGAAAGCGGGGAAGAAGGGTGCTAAGGGCCGACTCGGGGGGGAATTACAGTAAAGGGATGTTGAGACCGGTCCGATGGGCGATGGGCGACATGCAAGAAGCGTCTATCGATGCGTTCTGGCGTTGCCACCATCCGATGCCGGCTGAGAAGAAAGGGTCTGTACCACGGTCGACTTCTGGAATCATCATCAGGGGCACGACCGCCACTTGAGGTGTCGACTTTGCATCATCTCATGGGCCCCTGTTCCTGCTCGCTGGGCATCGCCCTACGAGGAGCCCGAGACAACGGCCGCAGTGGCGGTGATGGCGAGCCAGGACCGCCGGGGCCACGGAGGGGAGGAGAGGTATCGCATCGAACGGTGCTCGGCGAGGACGGCGGAGACTCGCGGCGAGGACGGCAAGAACGGCAAGAACGGCGAGAGGGCAAGGGCGGCAAGGACGGCGAGGACGGCGAGGACGGCGAGGGCCGCGAGGAGCGAACGCCGGCTGCGGCCACCCCGACCCGACCCGACACACCTGCGCAGCGGAGTCCGCGACCCTGTCCGCGCGGCGCATCGCACCGGTCCGCAACAACTCCGACGCCCGGGGCGAACCGCCGCTCCACACGGCCCACGGCCCAGCACGCCCCCGCGTCCGCAAGAACGGCGCGACACCGGCCGAGGTCCCTGAGGAACTGAGCCACGCCGACCCGGCCTTGGGCCGAATCAGCCGACGCGGTCCCCCAACCGCGGGGTACGGGCGCAGGCGCTGCTGCACTAGGCGCCTCGCTCATCACGGCGCCTCGCTCAGCCGATATGAAAAGAGTCGGCGATCCTTTCGGCTGGTACAAAATAATAGAAAACAAAATAACAGACGTCCTTTATCGGCTAAAATTCTGGTTCCACTTCAACGCGCGATTCAGGTCGCGGATCCAGGAATCATGATGCGGATGGCTATCATCGTTGCGGGATGGCCCTGCGCCGAGGGCCGACGGTGAGGACGGCATCGCCGTGGCGGCAGCAGCACCTGCATCTGCCCCCGCAGAATCCGATCGCGTCGCAGGGAAGGGCGGAACGACCTCGCCACTCTCTGGGCACGTGTCGGCATCCGTTTCTGAACGAGGGGGACGGGCCTGCTGTGACGTCCAAGGCGCCGGCGTCGTGGTTGACGCCGATGGCGAGGGCGGGGCCATGACCACGGGAATGCCGCAGGCGCTCGCCTCAATGACGAGCCGCTGGCCGCGGCGCAGCGGCCCAATGCGGAGCCCGTCGACGGCGACTTCGGGCTGCCCTCGGCTCCACCGGGCGACGCCGAGCGTGATCGCGGCATCGGCGGGCACGAGCACGGGGCGGAAGGACAGACTGCGAGGGCAGATGGGCGTGAGGCCGAGGCACGGCACGCGCGGGTCGATGATCGGCCCGCCCGCCGACAGCGCATACGCCGTCGAACCTGTCGGAGTCGACACGACGAGGCCGTCCGCCGTCACGGTCGTCAGCGGCGCGCGGTCGATGTGGCACGTGATCGTGCTCAAGTGCGGGTGCGGGCCGCGGTGCAGCGTGATATCGTTCAGCGCATAAGCGTCGCCCACGGCCGACCCCGGCTGCGCGGCGTCCGCCGCGGGGAACGGCAGGCGCTGCCCATCGGCATCAAACAACGTGCACGTCAGTCTTGAACGGATGAGGACCGGCACCGATGGTGACGACAATGGCGACGGCGGCGACGGCGACACGTGGGCAGCGGCACTCGAGGCCGCGTGCGCATCCGAGCTCCCTGTCCCGTCAAGCACACGCCGCAGCAGCGGCACAACCTCGTTCTGGTGGATCGGCATGAGGAACCCCAGTGTGCCCATCGAGACACCCACGACGGGCGGCACGTCGCGCGGGAAGAGACGCGACACGCGCAGCAGCGTGCCGTCGCCGCCCAGCGCGATCACGAGGTCGGTGACGCGCGCTAGCGATGCCGACAGCGCGGCGGTGCCCGACGCTGACTTCACGGAACGCGGCAGCACGAGCACGCGCGCATCCGTCCACCACGCGCCTGCGGGACTCGCATCTCGTGGAAGGGACATGACAGCCGGCTCACGCATCGCAGCATCGTCAGGCACCGCGGCATCGTCGGGCCCATCCCATACTTCTGACGCAGGCGCCATGTCGGCGGTCGAATCCTGGCCCTCGTCTTCAATCAGCAGACGGACGTCGGGATACGTTGCGAGCAGCCATGTGCACACGTCAGCCAACCGAGCGCGGATCGCGGGATCGTGCGACTTGTGCGCGATAAAGAGGGTCCGTGGCCGCGCTATGGGCCAGGTGATCACGGACGGCGCCGACGGCATGGACGGCGCCGAAGCCGGCGCCGACGGCGACGGCGCCGCGTGGCCGCTCACCACGGCGCGGCGCGCATGAGTCGGCCACGTGGACAGATGCGCTGTGAGCTCATCCACCTGCTGCTCGGCTGCCACGTGGTAAGCGCGCCGAGCGACATACACGGCGGTTCCCCTCTCGTCGATCCTACATGGCCGCGGCGAGATCGTGGCTCGGAAAACCCCGTGGCGGATCGGGTGAAATGATCGCCAGGCCCCTATTAAAGCGCTGGCAACGGATCCTGGGGCGGAAGAAACGCATGTGCGTGCCCAAAATGCCATGGCGTGGGCATCGGCAGGTCAGACGGCCCGACGAATGGGTCAGGAGCAGCGCGGCAGGCGCGGCAAGCACCAATGAACACAGAAGCAGGATCTAGAACGGCGAAGGACGCCGCCGGCCCGCCAACATGTCATTCCATCACACATGATGATAACGATCGAGCGGGCGATCATCGTCTCCGAAACACAACCACAACCGATTCATAGGATCGCCACGCAACCGTCGACTATGAGTCCCACATGAGCTGCTCGAGTTACATGGGCCGCGCAAGGGTCCAGGGAGTAAAACTGGAGCAAAACTGAGCCACACTGCTCCGCCCGGTACAGGCTACGAAATCGTACGATCTCGACGCGTCTGCCAACCAAAAAGCAAAGTCGTTGTCAAAAATAGTGCCTTTACACAGGATCGAACTGCGGACCTTCTGCTTACTAGGCAGACGCTCTAGCCACTGAGCTACAAAGGCAATTTTTGTTGTTGTTGGGAGCGGGGTCGGGGTCGAGGCGGAGACGAAGATTCGATGATGAAATGATGTTATTGATAATACGATGGTGGGGAACGGAGCGGGGAGT